GCTTAAGGGATCCTCCTGCCTCAGCCTCCCAAAGTGCTAGGATTACAGTCATTAGCCACCATGCCTGGCCTCTAGTCTATTTCTTTCGTTTTTTCTTTCTTTTTTTGAGACAGAGTCTTACTCTATCTCCCAAGCTGGAGTGCCGTGGCACAGTCTCAGCCCACTACAACCTCTGCCTCTTGGGTTCAAGCAAATCTCCTGCCTCAGCCCAATCCGCCTGCGTTGGCCTCCCAAAGTGCTGGGATTACAGGCATGAGCCACTGCGCCTGGCCTCTAGTGTATTTCTAATGGAGAACCAAATACATGAACCTGTGTTCAGCAGAATCATTCAACTTCAAGGGGAGCAGCTTTCTGTGCATCACCTCCTTAGCTTGTTCTCCTGACCTTTAGCAAAACTCCTTCCTTTGAGTACTCCTTGACCCTATCAGCTTCTGTTGGGACACATGTTTGTTGTTACTGTTGTTGAGAGGGGGTCTTGCTCCGTCACTCATGCTGGAGTGCAGTGACTCATGCGACCTCTACCTCCCAGGTTCAAGTGATTCTCTTGCCTCTGCCTCTTGAGTAGCTGGGCTTATGGACTCATAGTACTACACCAGGCTAATTTTTGTATTTTCAGTAGAGATGGGGTTTCACCATGTTGATCAGGCTGGTCTTGAACTCCTGACCTCAAATGATCCACCTGCCTCGGCCTCCCAAAAGGGCTGGGATTACAGATGTGAGCCACCATGCCTGGCTGAGACACATGTTAATTATACTGTGTTCTCTCATTTGCCTTTCTCTGTTAAATTCAGTCTTTTGAGAGGAGGAACTTGGTTTTATTTACTTTTTTTTTTTACCTCTAAATTCTTTTTTTTTTTTTTTTTTGAGATGGAGTTTTTCACTCTTATAGCTTAAGCTGGAGGCTCACTGCAACCTTTGTTTCCAGTTTTCAAGCGATTCTCCTGCCTCAGCCTCCCGGGCAGCTGGAACTACAGGCGTGCACCACAATACTTCGCTAATTTTTTGTACGTTCAGTAGAGGTGGGGTTTCACGATGTTGGCCAGGCTGGTCTCAAACTCCTGACCTCAGGTGATCTGCCTGCCTTGGCCTCCCAAAGTGCTGGGATGACAGGGCCATCCTCCCACCTCAGCCCCCCTAGTAGTTGGGACTACAGGTGCAGAACAAAGCACAGCATCTGGCTCCCAAATTCTTAGTACATAGTAGGGCCAGTGGATACCTGGGTAAATGGATTTCATCAGTGTTAATCCCCCACTGAAGCTATATTAAGTGTTGTTCTCTTGTATGGACTGCTTTTTTTTTTTTTTTTTTTGGAGACGAAGTTGGCTCTGTCACCAGCTGGAGTTACAGTGCGTGATTCTCCGCTCACTGCAAGCTGGCTCCGGGTCGCGTTCTGGCTCAGCGTCGGTGTAGTGGGGGGACTACAGGCCGGCGCCCTCTGCGCGGCAATTTTTTGTATTTTAGTAGATACGGGTTTACGTGTTAACCAGGATGGTCTCGATCTCTGACTTGATCCGCCGTCTCTGGCCTCCAAAGTGCTGGGATTACAGGCTTGAGCCACCGCGCCCGGCCTTTTTTTTTTTTTTTGACACAGGGTCCTGCTCTGTCGTCTAGGCTGGAGTGCTTTATATGCAATCTCCACTCACTCAGCTTCTGCCTGCCAGGCTCAAGTGATCCTCCCACATTAGCCTCCCCTGAGTAGCTGGGACCACAGGCTTGTACCACCTTGTCTGGCTAGTTTTTGTATTTTTGTAGAGACAGTTTCAGAGACAGAGTGGTCTCGAACTCCTGAGCTCAAAGTGTTGGGATTACAGGAGTGAGCCACCACACACAGCCAGGATTAACTGCTTTTTTTTTGAGACAGAGTCTTGCTCTGTTGCCCAGGCTGGAGTGCAGTGGCGTGATCTCGGCTCACTGCAAACTCTGCCTCCTGGGTTGACACCATTCTTCTGCCTCAGCCTCCCGAATAGCTGCGACTACAGGCGCCCACCACCACACCCGGCTAATTTTTTGTATCTTTAGTAGAAAGATGGGGTTTCACTCTGTTAGCCAGGATGGTCTCAATCTCCTGACCTCGTGATCTGCCCACTTTGGCCTCCCAAAGTGCTAGGATTACAGGTGTGAACCACCATGCACTGGCTAACTGCTTTTAACTATACAAATAATAAAATACTCTTGGATGGAGTCTTAAGGTGGAACTGCCTGTGCTCTTAATAGTGTCTGAAATTTATATGGTACTTACTAGACTCGTCACAGGATCTCTATGGCTCTTCAAATAGCAGGGGCTGGGTGTGATGGCTCACACCTGTAATCCCAACACTTTGGGAGGCCAAGGCGGGAGAATTGCTAGAGGCTAGAAGTTCAAGACAAGCCTCGAAAACATAGTGATACCCCCATCTCTACAGAAAATTTAAAAATTGGCTGTGTGTGGTGGCAACTGCCTGTAGTCCCAGCTGCTCAGGAGGCTGAAGTGGGAGGATCACTTGAGCCTGGGAGGTAGAAGCTACAGTGAGCTGTGGTTGTGCCGCTGCACTCCAGCCAGGATGACAGCAAGACCCTGTCTCAAAAAAAGAGAAAGAAATAGAAGCAGGGATGTACTTGAAGGGTATGTGTATGTTCATGTGGTTATATTGAATGCTTGGTGCTGGTCGGTAATTTTGAATGCTTCACATGCATTATGCCATTCTCATACACCTAACAGATGCAGGGTTCATCCCTAAGGCTGATTAGCTCATTATGAGTGAGGAGTCTAGAACCAGACTCCCTGAGTTCAAGTCTAACCTCTTCTTTGGCTCCTCATTTGTAAAATGGAAATAATAACAGCGTCTACCTTACAGGGTTGCTGTGACTATTAAATAATCTAATATCTTCAAACACCGTAAACTATGCCTAGCATAGATAATAAGTATGATCTCTTTATTATTACTCCTGTTCCTACTATTCTTGCTAGCTTTTTATTTTATTTTATTTTGTTTTGTTGAGACAGAGTGTCGCTCTGTCGCCCAGGCTGGAGTGCAGTGGCGTGATCTCAGCTCACTGCAAGCTCTGCCTCCCGGGTTCATGCCATTCTCCTGCCTCAGCCTCCTGAGTAGCTGGGACTACAGGCGCCCGCCACCACGCCCGGCTAGTTTTTTGTATTTTTTAGTAGAGACGGAGTTTCACCGTATTAGCCAGGATGGTCTTGATCTCCTGACCTCGTGATCTGCCCGCCTCGGCCTCCCAGAGTGCTGGGATTACAGGTCTGAGCCACTGTGCCCGGCCTCTTATTTATTTATGTTTTGAGACAGAGTCTTGTTCTGTTCTCCAGGCTGGAGTGTAATGATGTGGTCATAGCTCCCTGCAGCTTCTAACTCCTGGGCTCAAGTAATGCTTCTGCCTCAGCCTCTTGAGTATCTGGGACCCCAGGTGTGTGCCACCATGCCCAGCTAATTTTTTGTCTTTTTAGTAGAGACAGGGTTTTGATATGTTGGACAGGCAGGTCTCCAAGTGATCTGCCTGCCTTGGCCTCCGCAGGTCTCCAAGTGATCTGCCTGCCTTGGCCTCCCAAAGTGCTGGGATTACAGTTCTGAGCCATCACTCCTGGTAGATTTATTATTTTTAACTTGGCAAGTCTGTAAGCCCTTTTTTGTTCCTTTTTTTTCAAGGGGCCAGAGGTAGAGGCCTTTGTCATTTTCTGTGTGTCCAGGGAAGTGTGCAGGATGTATAAGCCATAGATTAGGAATGGGAGGAAGAGTGTGTGGTGGTTGTGACAAGGGTCCAAAGGAAGGCAGCTTCCGAACTTACTTGAGATTATAAAAATAAATTTAAACCAGGTATCTCTGTGTAATCAAAAGGTTTCTGTAAAACAGAGATGAAGTGTATGTGTGTGTATATACTTGTAATTTGAAAAGACATTCAGAATAGTAACTTCTGGGACAGTACAGACTACAAAAATTACAGCATGATAGAACCTTCTTAACTACTAAGAATATAGAAAGGAAAATAAGGCCTGGCATGGTGGCTCACACCTGTAATCCCAGCACTTTGGGAGGCTGAGGCGGGTGGATCACCTGAGGCCAGGAGTTTGAGACCAGCCTGGCCAATATGCCAAAATCCTGTCTCTACTAAAAACACAAAATTTATCTGGGTATGGTGTTGCACATCTGTAATCTCAGCTAGTCGGAAGGCTGAGGCAGAAGAATCACTTGAACACCGGAGGCAGGGGTTGCAGTGAACTGAGATTGCGCCACTGCACTCCACCTGGGTGACAGAGCAAGATTCTGTCTCAAAAAAAAAAAAAAAAAAGTCTGGCCTCGGTGGCTCAAGCCTGTAATCCCAGCACTTTGGGAGGCCGAGGCAGGTGGATCACGAGGTCAGGAGATCGAGGCCATCCTGGCTAACAAGGTGAAATTCCGTCTCTACTAAAAAATAGAAAAAATTAGCGGGGCATGGTGGCATGTGCCTGTAGTCCCAGCTACTCAGGAGGCTGAGGCAGGAGAATTGCTTGAACTTGGGAGGCAGAGGTTGCGGTGAGCTGAGATCCCGCCACTGCACTCCAGCCTGGGCAACAGAGCAAGACTCCGTCTCCAAAAAAAAATAAAATAAAAAGGTAGGGGCCAGGTGTGGTGGCTTATGTCTGTAATCCCCAGCACTTTGGGAGGCTGAGGTGCATGGATCACCCAATGTCAGGAGTTCAAGACCAACTTGGCCAACATGGTGAAAACCCTTCTCTACTAAAAATACAAAAAAACATTACCCGGTCATGGTGGTGGGTGCCTGTAACCCCAGCTACTCGGGAGGCTGAGGCAGGAGAATCACTTGAACCAGGGAGGCAGAGATTGATTGCAGTGAGCTGAGATCACGCTATTGCACTCCAGCCTGGGCAACAAGAGCGAAACTTGTCTCAAAAAAAAAAAGAAAAGGAAAATAATTTATTGTAGAGGAAAGTGGTTTATTAAGAAGTTTGACAGGCACTGGCTTAGAGTAAGATTTTTCTCTTATAGTAATTTTCTTTCTCTCTTAAGGTATCCAAGCCCACCAATGGGCTCTGTCTCAGCACCCAACCTGCCTACAGCAGAAGATAACCTGGAATATGTACGGACTCTGTATGATTTTCCTGGAAATGATGCCGAAGACCTGCCGTTTAAAAAGGGTGAGATCCTAGTGATAATAGAGAAGCCTGAAGAACAGTGGTGGAGTGCCCGGAACAAGGATGGCCGGGTTGGGATGATTCCTGTCCCTTATGTCGAAAAGCTTGTGAGATCCTCACCACACGGAAAGCATGGAAATAGGAATTCCAACAGTTATGGGATCCCAGAACCTGCTCATGCGTACGCTCAACCTCAGACCACAACTCCTCTACCTGCAGTTTCCGGTTCTCCTGGGGCAGCAATCACCCCTTTGCCATCCACACAGAATGGACCTGTCTTTGCGAAAGCAATCCAGAAAAGAGTACCCTGTGCTTATGACAAGACTGCCTTGGCATTAGAGGTAAAATCTGTTCAGACTAGCTTTTTGGGTCCTTTGACATTTGGTTTTAATTTTTAGTTTTAGTTTCTGCTCATTTAAGCTTATATTCATGGAATTAGAGCACTTAGATGATTTTGAGAGATACGCACTGTTAGCATTTCATGTTTAAATTTTTTTACAGAGACAAGGTCTCTGTTAAAAAGAGTTGTTTGCCCAGGCTGATCTCGACATCCTGGCCTCAAGCAAATCCTCCTACCTCAACCTCCCATAGTACTGGGGTGACAGATATGAGCCACCGTGCCCGGCCTGTTATTAGTGTTTCACAGGTTGTTTTCTTCTTTCCTATTCCTTGTTTGTCCCACATTCTCAGCCTCCTTGCTCTTTTTTGTTCCCAAAGCCTAACAGATTTAGTTTTGCAGTCATTGGTTTTTCTTCCAGTAAGGAAAGATAATAATTAAGGAAGACCCATGACCTAGAGGCAAAATTAGCATACAGATACATAGCTACTTGTGTGGTTCTGTATTTCTAACATTGGAATCAGTTGAGAAATATGAAAATGTCTTAGAATTTCTCTTGAACTTGGTAGAGGAATTAATTTTTTTTGAGACAGAGTCTTGCTCTGTCACCCAGGCTGAAGTGCAGTGGCGCGATCTCTGCTCACTGCAAGCTCCGCCTCCTGGGTTCACGCCATCTCCTACCTCAGTCTCCCGAGTAGCTGGGACTACAGGCACCTGTCACCATGCCTAGCTAATTTTTTGTATTTTTAGTAGAGACGGAGTTTCACCGTATTAGCCAGGATGGTCTCGATCTCCTGACCTCGTGATCCACCTGTCTCGGCCTCCCAAAGTGCTGAGATTACAGGCGTGAGCCACCGTGCCCGGCCCAGGAATGATTTTTTTTGAGATGGAGTCTCGCTTTGTCACCCAGGCTCCAGCACAGTGGCATGATCTTGGCTCATTGCAACCTCCACCTCCCGGGTTCAAATGATTATCCTGCCTCAGCCTGCCGAGTAGCTGGGATTACAGATGCCTGCCAGCATGCCCATCGAATTTTTGTATTTTTAGTAGAGATGGGGTTTCAACATGTTGGCCAGGCTGGTCTTGAACTCCTGACCTCAGGCGATCTGCCTGCCTCGGCCTCCCAAAGTGCTGAGATTACAGACATGTATGACCACGCCCAGCCATAGAGGAATGATTTTAAAATACATCAGCCCTTGCTTGTTACAGGTTTTGTAAATTAGAATAGCATGATATAGAACTTGAACATTTTAATTACCAAGTCATTTTCTTTTCTTTTTCTTTTTCTTTTTCTTTTTTTTTTTTTGAGACAGAGTCTTGCTCTGTTGCCTTGTTGCCTAAGCTGGAGTGCAGTGGCGTGATCTTGGCTCACTGCAACCTCCGCCTCCTGAGTTCAAGAGATTTTCCTGCCTCAGCCTCCCAAGTAGCTGGGACTACAGGCACGCACCACTATGCCGGCTAATTTTTGTATTTTTAGTAGAGACGGGGGTTTCACCATGTTGGCCAGGCTGGTCTCGAATTCCTGACCTCAGGTGATCCGCCTGCCTCAGCCTCCCCGAGTGCTGGGATGACAGGCGTGAGCCTCCGCACTCAGCCATGTCATTTTCTCTTAACTAAACATTACTTTTTAAAAAGACTCTTTCTCAGGTGGGCACAGTGGCTCATGCCTGTAATCCCAGCACATTGGGAGAGCGAAGCTGGTGGATAACTTGAGGTCTGGAGTTTGAGACCAGCCTGGCCAACATGATGAAACCCTGTCTCTACCAAAAAATACAAAAATTAGGCAGACGTGGTGGGCACACGCCTGTAGCCTCAGCTACTCAGGAGACTGAGGTGGAACAATTGCTTGAACCGGGGAATTAGAGGTTGCAGTGAGCCGAGATCATGCCACTGCATTTAAGCCTGGGCAATAGGGTGAGACTCTATCTCAAAAAAAGGGGGGAGAATGTTAAGAGAGACCCCAAGTGCAGTTCAGAAGGATGAAGTAAGGGACCCTGTTGCTTCAAAAAAAACAAATCCTGACTCACCAAACAACCTGCCCACAGATAAAAGTTGTCTAGAATTGGTTTGTCCATAGGTCGTCCTCAATGTTTTTTTGTTTTTGTTTGTTTTGTTTTGTTTTGTTTTGAGATGGAGTTTCACTCTTGTTGCCCAGGCTGGAGTGCAATGGCACGATTTTGGCTCACCGCATCCTCCGCCTCCTGGATTCAAGCGATTCTCCTGCCTCAGCCTCCAGAGTAGCTGGGATTACAGGCATGCCTCACCATGCCCAGCTAATTTTTTGTATTTTTAGTCGAGACGAGTTTCTCCATGTTGGTCAGGCTGGTCTCGAACTCCTGACATCAGGTGATCTGCCCGCCTCGGCCTCCCAAAGTGCTGGGATTACAGGTGTGAGCCACCATGCCTGGCCCTCAGTTTTTCTTTGGACCAGTAGTAGTATCTGAATGAACTGAACCTGAAGGTTTGTTTCAATGTTTGATTTTTGTCTCCCTTTCATGTTGACTATAAGGAAAGAAGGAGCATCTGAGGCGTGGTGGGGGTCTGGGACTGAGAGGCTCCAGGTCTGAGGAGGCTGCCTCCACAGATAGGAGTGCTGGCTGAGCAGGCCTTCCAGCTTTCTTTCCTTCTTTTTTTTTTTTTTTTGAGATGGAGTCTCATTTGTTGCCTAAGCTGGAGTATACTTGGTATAATCTCGGCTCACTGCAACCTCTGCCTCCTGGGCTCAAGCGATTCTTCTGCCTCAGCTTCTCAAGTAGCTGGGATTACAGGTGCCCGCCACCACACCCGGCTGTTTTTAGTAGAGGTGGGGTTTCACTATGTTGGCCAGGCTGGTCTTGAACTCCTGGCCTCTGATCCTCTACCCGCCTCAACCTCCCAAAGTGCTTGGATTACAGGCGTGAGCCACTGCGCCTGTTCAGGCCTTTCAGCTTTCTCACCCCCACACAGACCGGCCTAGGCACAGGTGCATGCCTCTGGCCTGGTCTACACCTCAGCACCTTAGAATAACACGGGATGCTCTGGGCTGTTAATATGTTGTAGCATGCATTGTGTTTTCAGCCTTTTGAGGCGTTTTCACATCTGTCATAGCATAGGATTGGGGAGCTAGGAGTCAGAGTGGGTGTGACTTGTGTGTGTTTGGCAGCTGCTCGTTGAGAACCTTGAAGGTGGAGGCTCCCAATCAGAATTTTAGGTACCTGCCTGTTGACCTCTGGCTCTAGGATTGTGTGTTTTAGAAACCTATATCTAGTGTGCGTGCGTGTGTGCTCATTGGAGCGAGTACTAGGAGGTTGTAGGGAGGAACATCAGGTATTACAGAAGGGATCATTTAGAGCTTGGTGTGTGGGTGGATAGGTAGGTGCCCGAGACAGGTCAGGAGTAGGAGGAAGGAAGCCTAGTTAATGATTGTGTATTTTAAGATAACCTACATACTTTGCCATTACATAGCTCCTAGTCTCTCTGGCCCCAGAGAGAGGTTCTCCACACCTGAGCCTCATGACACTAACCCAGCCAGCTGAGCTTCAGCAAATGGTTTTTTTCATGCTTGAATGAGAGAAAGTGTAAATAGGACCTGAGAAATAGACCTTTACCAAATTCCATTTAATGGTATTTCGCTTTCTGTATATTTAAATGAAACTTTAGGTTATAGCATAAGTAAAAAAAACTTTTTTTTTCCTGAGATCGAGTCTCTGTCACTCAGGCTGGAGTGCAGTGGCGTGATCTCCGCTCGCTGCAACCTCCGCCTCATGGGTTTAAGCGATTCTCATGCCTCAGCCTCCTGAGTAGCTGGGGTAAATATTTTTTTGATTGTTACCTTCTAAAACTATTATTAGGATAGTGGTGCCTGTCTGATCTTGTTAACAACAACTCTTGGGACTTTTGCAATTAGGTTACTAGGAAAAGTATTAAAATTAAAATGAGAAACAGACAACTAGGACAAAATGTGCCAATAATTGAAGCTTCATTATTCCCCTAGATAGTATTACAGAGAACAATGATGGCTTAGGTGACTTTATACCTTAAATTATTTTACACTTTTTTTTTTTTTTAAATAAAACTTGATTTTCAAAAGAGTATTCCTGTAAGTAAAGAGGTATTTCAAAACCAGTCTGTGTTTAGCTATTTTCTTTTCTTGCTGACTTTTCTGTAAGAAGAGAGTTGATCCTGAGATTTGATTTGAAGGGGAATACTTGGTATCTGTAAGGTAAGTAGAGCTTGTGTGATGAGACTAATGTCACTGAATAGCTGTAGATAGGTGAGCATGCTGGGCAAAGGGCAAAAGTGGCAAAAGACAGCCAGGGCAGTAGGCTGTTGCCATATCACGAAGGGCTAAGCTGAGGAGATTAACAGTTTTCTTGCATTGCCTTCATTTGAGTCATGAAACAGCCAGTTTCTCACAACTGACAAGGTCAGGTTTGCAGGCAATTTCTTTTTATTTATTAATTTTAAAATTTAGAGCAAATGCTTGACTCTCATGTAATAATATCATTCTCATTCTTTTGCATTCCAGTATGCTTTTCTGACTAAAAAGAAAGGGAAGAAATATCTTAGCAACTTTAGAATTGTACTTAACCCTGGGTACACACACCCCTGAATATTTGTATGAAAATTTGTATTCAAATGTCTAAATGCAGCCTCAGCTGTGCTTTTCCCCCATGGTATGGGATAAGAAAACAGTTGGTGACACAAGCTGGGGATCTGTGGGAACTGAAGTCAGTGGTACAGATCGTGTGGAGGAAAAATAGTTTCCCAGGCTTGCAAGTGAGACTTAAAGTGATTTGGGATGGAATTGATAGAAATCAAGCAGAAAGGTTGTATTGATACCTTAGGTCATTTAGTCTAATCATTTTCCCAGTGCTTTTAGCCCTCTTCAGAGTCTAACTCCATGGCCCTCCAGTCTCAACTCGGACACCTCCAAAAAAACATCACTTCAACAAAAGTTCATTGAGTGCCTATTATGTGACAGGCTGGGAATTTGGGATACAGTAGTGAACAAAACAAAGATGT